ATGTGTGCTTGAGAATTCCAATATTACTAATTATATGTTGGATTACTTTAAAAAAAAAGTTCAGATTGAGATTTTAGAGCCAATCACTTTACAGTAATGCATGTCTACTTGTCTACTTGTTTTTGTTCCCCTGAAAAACTAAGGTGCTTGTTCTTAGAATCATTTTGTATGCATGCAAATATATTCCTGGTAGTATTTGAAAGTGACCACAGATTTTGAAAATCAAATGTTTCGCTGCTAAATGCTGGTGGAGCCTAGGAAGACTGTAGCACGTGTCTCCCAAGCTTCATGAGGAACAGGGCATGTAAACAAACTGGCTTAGAGCCTCCTGAAGCCAACCAGTCCCCCTCCTCCTCTCAGCCCTGCTTTCCTCTGGCTCCGCTGCGCTCTCAGGCACGCTCTCCCCTGCCTGAGGCCAGGTGGCTGCCCCCAGCTGCAGGGGGACCCCTGGGGTTCCCAGTCCACGGGAAAGGCAGGCATGCTCTTTCCAGGTAGCTGCAGTTATGACAGTGAGGGAAGGGAGAATAGAGGCAGGAGAGCAGTGGGGCCCACCTCAGAGGCCCACTCAGAAAATCTCTGTAAAGATGAGCAAGCATGTGGATTTGGGGGTTAAGTCAGTTTGTAGTGTTTCCAATTCCCCAAACCACGTCTGTAATTTCTCACCTCCAGCCCTTAGATTGCTCTCATCTGGTAACACCTCCTGCTTGTCAAGTGTTTTTGCATGAAAAGATGGTCACAAGTGGCATATGTGCACAATGGTTCATAACATCCACTCACAGTTGCTTATTCTCTTTGTGTACAGCTTTTAAATCACTTCTGGATCTATCAAACCACATAATTTATAAATTAAAATAACAAGATACCATTTTTATCTGCCAAACCCAATAGGATGGTAAATATTTATCCCATAATGAAAGAGGCATTTCAAATCAGCAAGTAATAGCTTATTAGATAAATGGGGCTGGGACATTTGGTAAATGATTTAAGAACAACAATAACAATAAAAACCATAAAAATAGATCCTGATCTCAGACCTTACTCCAAAATAAATTACTAATAGTTTTAAAAAGTTAAATGTAAATAAATAAATAAATACTAGAGAAGTTGAAGAAAAAAGGTGAATAATTATATGTTCTTAGGATGGGAAAGATCTTTCTAAATGTAATTCTAAGTGATGGAAATCCTATATTATAAAAGGTTAATATGCAAATAGACCAAACGGCAGAACGACTGGTCGCTATGATGTGCACTGACCACACTCAATGCAGGAGCTGCCCCCTGGTGGTCACCGTGCTCCCACAGGGGGAGTGCTGCTCAGCCAGAAGCCAGGCTCATGGCTGGTGAGCCAGTGGCAGTGGCAGGAGCCTCTCCCACTTCCATGGCAGTGCTAAGGATGTCCAATTGCTGGCTTGGGCCCACTCCCATGCAGAGCAAGCCTAAGCCATCAGTTGGGCATCCCCTGAGGGCTCCCAGACTGCGAGAGGGCGCAGGCCGAGCTGAGGGACCCCCCTGAATGCACAAATTTTGTGCATTGGGCCTCTAGTTATATATAAAAGAATTTATTTGTTGATTTAGATGTAGAGAAAAGACATATATCAAAATATTGAACTTATGACAAAAATGAAATTGATACACTATTTCTAATAAAAAATATCTTCAGTTAGGAATTTTTATAAACCTGGTTTATAAGGGAACTCATTTTCTCTACCTCAACTCCCCTAAACAGCTACCAAGTAGATGAGCACCTGCTGGGAGGATTGTGCCTGGCAGGAGAGTCCCAAGTCCGGAGTGCAGGGCCTGAGCAATCTCAGCGCTCCAAGAGGAGGACTGGGACATTGAGGAGAGAGGGCGATATTCTTAATAATCACCACAAGTGAGAAGCTTTGGAAAGAGGTGGAAATATCTAAAAGGAATTAGGAAGCTTTTTGTATAATATGCCATTGAAAAGACTGCCATTGACCATTAAGGAAATTTACAATTAAGTACTACATTTTCTTTAAAGGTTTTGAAGATTTTTAAGATTTGATTGTTTGTGGCAAGGTTTAGGGTTGTTTGTTTTGTTTTTAGTTTGTGTTTGTTTGTTTGTTTGTTATGGACAGGCAGAGGCAGGAGCCAAAGCAGTCAAATTATTCTCTTTAGTATGTCCATGTAAGAAGCAAAACAATTAAGATCCTTAATAAAAAGGTTTTTGTGAACCAATAAGGAAAAGCAAATACTATTTTTAAAATAGGCAAAAGATTTGACCAGATAATACCATTAAAATGAAAATGGTTAACCCTAACCAGTTTGGCTCAGTGGATAGAGCGTCGGCCTGCGGACTGAAGGGTCCTGGGTTCGATTCTGGTCAAGGGCATGTACCTTGGTTGCAGGCACATCCCCAGTGGGAGGTGTGCAGGAGGCAGCTTATTGGGATATTTCTCTCTCATCGATGCTTCCAACTCTCTATTCCTCTCCTTTCCTCTCTGTAGGATAGCAATAAAATATATTTAGAAAAAAAAAGAAAAAAAATGAAAATGGTTATAAAGATGAAAAAAATGACCTCACTAATGCTCAGACATGTGAAACTAAAAATGTTTTTCAAGAGGCCACCCCCTTTGCCTTTCAAAAAATTGCCCCAAAGCAAGAAGGATATGAAATACAAACTCTTAGGAAAACCAGGCAATGTGTATAATTCCTAAGCATAAGATATGAAATCAGAAAGTGAATCGGGGACTGACAAAGAGGAGGAGGGTCCAAGCCAAGGCTGGAGATACAGAGACAAGTGATTCGATTCATTATTTAGCCAATGGAAGCCAGACAGTTTTTAGAAATAATCAATGGTATGCTGGCAAATGTGGAACAAGTTCTCCAGGAAAAACCATGTCTATGTGTGTTATGTCTACATACACACATGTAATAAATTGTATTGATATAAAGGATGTATAACACACAAAATACCGATAATAAGATATACAGTGCTTTTCGTTGAAAATTCCATATAGCCCATTGTTGATTTTTACATCTGTAGCCAACCGATGGTTGCAGTTAATGAAGGAGTGTAGCCCTAACTTGGATGTTGATTAATATTTCCACTTATGTTAACAAGACAAATGTGAAACAACAAAGATCTACGTCAGACCTCCACTCACTTTCCAGTGATTGGCTGACGATTTTGCTGAGTTGTGTAACAGTTTTCAAATCCTGGGAAAATGTTTTCCCAATGTTTTACCCCGTTCACAATGTAATATCTACAGACGCAACACACATTTAAGTTTCATCTGCATGTGTTCATTAACTCCGTGGGGGTGGGGATTCTAAAACAATATATAGGTGTATAAAGTTATCATGTTGTGCACTTAAATATTTCACAATTTTATTTGTAAATTATACCTCATTAAGGCTGAAAAAATAAAAGAAATGAGACATTAGCCGTAAGCGGTTTGGTTCAGTGGATAGAGTGTCTGCCTGCAAAGTGAAAGGTCCCAGGTTCAATTCCGGTCAAGGGCATGTACCTTGGTTGCAGGCACATCCCCAGTGGGGGGTGTGCAGGAGGCAGCTGATCGATGTTTCTCTCTCATCAATGTTTCTGACTCTCTATCCCTCTTCCTTCCTCTCTGTAAAAAAATCAATAAAATATATCTTTAAAAAAGAAAAGAAAAGAAACGAGACATTAAAAATGCCATGTCCCACAATACTTGGGATATTAGACTATTTAAAGCATTAATTCATTCAACTTAGGATGCATTTCTTACATTTTTATGTTTAAAATTCTCAATTCTGCATACTTGGAATAACCAGTTCTTGTATCTTGAAGACTTGTCTTAATTCATGGTACTGTTTGTTTTACTTCTTAGGTACCAGCAAAGGCCAAACGCCTTACTCAACAACTTCGCTACCACCACCTCCACCATCCCATCCGGCCAGCCAACCGCCATTGCCAGCTTCTCACCCAACACAACCGCCAGTCCCAAGCCTACCTCCCAGAAACATTAAACCTCCTTTAGATCTAAAGTAAGTAAAAGATTACCTTTTCATTTCTTTGTCAGTCTCTTGCCAGAGATTTCCCAAAGGCGCTTGGCTGGATGCTGAGGGCTACGTGGTAAAATGCTGGGGACACCAAGGTGGACAGCTAACAGGGAAAAAGAGTGTCTACGCAGCTGCTCTCATACCTCCAGACCCTTGAGCAACTCTTGTTTACCTGCTTTTACAGTGGTTTTTTCTCTTAAGCATTCATCGGAAGAACATTTCTACTGCCTTTTTTAAAGTTCTGAAGCATTTTTCGGGTCAGCACCACCACCATCCTTTTCCCCATCATCATCACCAATACCAACACCATTATCACCATCAGCACCACGACTACCATATGTTACTGACAGCCTATGATGTGCTAGGCATTTTACATATATAATCTCTATAACAGTAATGAATTACTCGTGTTATCATCATTTCACAGATGAGGAAGCAGAACGCTACAGAAGCTAAATAGCTTCTCCAAGGTCACACAAGGATAGAGCAGAAACCTGAGCCAATGTCAGTCTGAGTCCAAAGTAAAACAAGTTTTCTCTCATCATTCATTTTTCAAGCTGTTTTAAAAACCTTGGAAACTTTTATTCAAGCTTAAATTTTCTTAGAGGGCACATTTTAGAAATGTCAGAACTACATGGGTGGTTACACATGGGCTCTTTATTTGTGACTTACCAGAATAGCTGGTTGAGGAAAAAGCAAGTGGAAGATTGGAGTAGAATGAAATGTTGTGGGATTTTTTATTTGAAGTATTCAGACTGTGGCAAGCATGGATCTTAATGGCAAGTGAGGCTAGGTCTTCTCATTTTTCTAGAGAATTGCTTTCCATGATTCTCCTTTTTCACAGTAAGTAATATTGAGCTGCAGTTTGTTTTTCCTTCACTTCAATCCCCTACCAGATAGATGTTCTTTGCACTTAAAGTCTTAATATCCGTAATCCGTATAATAGAGCCTGTTAGTAATAATATTTGATTGACAGCTTTCTTTAAATGTTGATGATCACAATTTATAGCAGGGGTAGGAAACATGCTAGTCATGGGTAGCCTCCACTATGTTTCACTTTATTATGCTTTGGGAAGATTCAAAAGCAGCCACCAGAAGGTTTTAGAGCAGATAAGTGACTTTTATCTTCTCTAGGCCAATGACCTGTGTTCAGATGAACTGAATACCTTCCAAATGGTTAAGTTTATAAATTCTAATTTAAGTCTCTAAAACCCCATGATATCCAGCTACCAAATAAGAATGCAAGCCATCTGCCTACTAACATATAAATGCTAAATAAATATTAGTTTAATTAAAATAATTAATATGTGTTCTTCGATACACCTGATTTCTGTGTAATTACTTTCCTTTCATATGTATTCATCCTGTGTCCTTTTCTTAATTTCTTTCCTACTTGGGTAAATTAACCCACTTGATTTGAACTTAGTACTTTGGACTTTTATGATATGACCCTACCCCAGCTTCTGGTTTCAGCCAGGCTTCTGGGTCCTGTGTAATTCCAGTGAGAGGTTGTATTAAATAGCTTGAGCATGAATTCCTGAACATTTACAAGACATGGAGACTGGTACATAATAGCTCGATCAAAGAAATGTGAACAGGAGTATTTGGCACTCTTCCTGCTGTTTGGAGGTCCCCAAGAGCCCCCGTATGTGTGATGATTTACTGAAAGGACTCACAGGGCTCACCACAGGTAGTGGTGACAGCTCAGGTTTGTCACAGCAGGGCTCTGCTCTAGGGCTGGGAAAAGACACGTTGAGAAGGTCCTTCAGCGATGAAAATGCAACGCACGTGTGATGCTGCTTCCCCAGAGAGCCTAGTGGAGACAGGTTTTGATTGAAAGCTGGTCATATATATAGGCACCTGCTACCTAGCAACTACCAAAATGCCAGACTTCTAAAAGAAGCAGCCGTTCATCCTAATCACAGTGTTCATACAGTCTAGACCAGTGGTCAGCAAACTGCGGCCCCGTGAGTATGGCTCTTCCACAAAATACCACATGCGGGCGCGCACGTACAGTGCGATTGAAACTTCGTGGCCACACTCAAGGGGCCGAAGAGCCACATGTGGCTCGCGAGCCGCAGTTTGTCGACCACTGGTCTAGACACAGCAAAGCACTCTTACCACGAGGCAGCTTTTCATATCAGTGGAGGGAATTCTTTAGAAGCTGTGTTTCCAGATACAAGCCAAGGGCCAACGTTGGTAGCAGATTCTTGTAAAAATAGCAGTGGTGGGCCTGCTGTGCTAACCCACTCCCTGGAATCCATTATGATGGGGTGGGGAGTAAAATGTTGTAGAAGGAAGAAAGGATTTTAAAAACAGCCTGGTAACCTGTACGACTATATTGTAAGGATGCTGGTCAGTTTCCCAGCTTTGCAGGGAATTCTTGCAAAGTTGAAAAGGACCTGCTGATCAGCCAGGCTCTAGTTCTTAATTGATGAAAATAAAAGCAAAAGCCACCAGTTGTAATCAACTTTACCTTACCCCTATTTCCATCTTATTAAGGACTTCTAATTACAAAGTCTGATTCATCTAAGAGTTGCCAACTCCACAAAATACATACTCTCAGAAGAAAGATGGAGAGGAATAAGAGTCTTAGAGGTTATATTGCCTAGATCAACTACAGGGTGTGCCCACACAATAGCTCAATTTTGAAAATGAAATATATGTTAATAAATACCGCCTTTATAATTTTTCAAAGTGTGTGTATCCATTTTTTGGGACACCCTATGTATTTGGAGCTTCTGAAAGTTAATTGTCAGATGGAGATAACAGAGGAAATGAAAGTTAAAGGACATCTATAATGTAATATTTTTATATAGTGAGAACTTCTAAGCTCTCATCAGAGAGCTCAAGTAAATTCCAAAATGAAGAAATATCTGGGTTAGAAACTTTCCCCCAAGTAGAGGAAGCTAGATAAGACACAAAGAGGAAATGAAAGCAAAATAGATCTTGATAGTCTGGCTCAAAATTTTACATTTAATGTGAGAGGAAAACTTATGGAAAACTCTTTAAGTAAAATTTTAAAATATGAGTGTTTCTGTGCTTTTCTTCACACCACCACCCTTCAAAACACACTCCTGGGTGTTCCCTGGTGCTCCCTCTGCTGGCCTGCGAACGCCATTCCTCCCATCTCCAATCAGTGGCCACCCTGAGAGCCAAGAGCTAATAGATTATTTTACATTCACTCAACAATTACTTTTTAAGCCACTACTTTGTGCTTTTGTAATAAGAGTTCAGGAAGTAGTGAATAAAAAAAAGACCCCTGCCCACATAAGACAGGGGCAAAAGAGCAAAGGAATAAAAATAACAAACAGGTAAAGGATATAGTATGTTAGGAAACACTGAACGCTGTGGGGGAAAATAGCGCAGGGTTGGGTGGTGTAGTGCAAGGGTGGGAATGGGGACAGTGTGTTGCAACTTTCAACAGAGGTGAGGGCGGCTCCCTTTTTGGACGGTACACTTCAGACTCAACAAGGTGAGGGAGTTAGACGTGCACACACCTGTAGAAGAGCAGTTCTAAGTGGAGAAGACAGAGCAAAGGCCTAGAATGTTCAAAGACTAGGAAGGAGGTAATGGGCTGGAGTAGAGCAAGGGAAATGAGACAGTAGGCGAATGTGGGAGCAGGGAGAGCAGTTAGGCAGATATCGCAGAAACGCAGGCAAGACACGGGGTGGGGGGGCGTCTCACGAGGGTGGTGTGCAGATTCTGAATACATTTTGAAACAATTTGGATTCGGGATGTAAAAGGAAATGAGGATGGAAGATGGCTCCCAGGTTTTTGGCCTGAGCAACACTGAGGATGATGTCTCCACTAGCTGAAATGGGAGAGGCTGCTGGGGAGCAAGTTTGGGGTGTGGAAGGTCAGGAGGGCATGGCTATGTGAAGCTTGAGGTGTCTCTTAAACATCCGAGTGGAGACGTGGAGGAGGCAATTGGGTATAAGAGTGATGAGTCTGAGAGATAGTTCTGTGTAAAAATATACATTTGAGAGTCAGAGGCACATATTCCACACTTAAAGTCACAAGACTGTTAAGGTCCCTAAGGAAGTGAGGATAACTAGAGAGAAGGAACAAGCCCTGGGTTCTGGGAGAAGAAAAATCAGGAAAGGAGAATAGAAAGGAACAACCAATAAAGCACAAAACAAAAAAAACAAGAAACAAGGTGGTGTTCCCCAGGAGGAAGCAGTGACCAACTGTGTCCAAGGCTGCGAGGGCCCGTAGGCGAGCGCTAGGCAGGTCAGTGTGGGTGGAAGTCTCAGGAGTAGTGGGGACACAGGCCTCATTAAAATGGCAATGGGGGGATAAGAACAAGTATGTAATACCCTAATCAATAAAGAAAGAAATGACTTTAAAAGAACAAGAAAGGAAAGCAACTGGAAAACTCAAGTATAGACAGCGCATTAAAAAAAGAGGGAAGCAAAGAAATGGGGCAGTAACTAGTGAGAAAACGGAATTAAGATTTGTAGGTTTTTTTTTTAAGATGGAAGAAATAAAAGCCCTGGCGGGTGTGCTCAATGGTTAGAGCATCAGCCCACCCACCAAAGGGTTGCAGGTTCGATTCTGATCAAGGGCACATACCTGGGTTGCAGGTTTGATCTCTGGTCCTTGTAGGTCAGAGCACTTTGGGAGGCAACCAATCAATATGTCTCTCTCACATTGATGTTTCTTTCTCCTCTCTCTTCTCCCTCCCTCCCTCCCTACTATTTTTTCTAAAAATCAATAGAAAAAATATCATCAGGTGAGGATTAACCAAAATAAAAGAAAGAACGGTGTTTGTATACTAATGAGAAAGATCCCGTGAAGAGGGGAGATAATAATGGCAACGAAAGGAAAGCATTCCTGGGACCAGGGACTAGAGCAAGTGGGACTGGTGCTCGGGTGTGGGTGCGGGACCGGCTTTCCAGGGAAAGAACGGACTAGTGAGGCTTACAGGGGTGGGGTCTGCACTGCCCAGGGCAAGGAGACACATCTCTCCCTCCGATCCAGGAAGGGTTTCAGGAGGCAGGGTGGCCTTTCTCACCTGCCCGCTCCCCAGAAGTCACTTGTGATTATTTCACTCAGGTCAGGGTGCCACAAGAGTGGAAGAGATTGGAGGCAGGTGAAAATTAGAAAGAATAAATAGCTTTAAAAACAAAGTCGTGGAGGCCAAAGTTATATCGTATTTTAAATTGTATTGTCTCCCCACCTAGTGGTCAGAACTCAGCTAGCTGCGTTTCGGCTGTTTTCCCCAGACAACGAGGGGAACTAAGGAGCATCTTTCTCATGCTCAGTGTCCAACAGCTTCAGTGTAACGCGCTTTTTGTGCTAGTTTACATGTTCAATGACAGTTTTCACAGTATGTCTAATTGTTCATGTGAAAACAGAACCGGCGGTTGAATATTTTAGTATACAAAGCACATTGCATGGTTATTAATAGTAATGAGACAGGAAAAGTGAGGTAAGAAGAAACAACAAATAACGGGAAGTGACCGAGGTTGGAAAAGGAAAGGTTAAACAGTTCTTTTCCTCAGGTCATCATAGTCGGTGTAAGGTTTGGTTTGGGTTTCTTTGCG